AGCGAAAGGGTCCTTAGCTTTGGTCTCAGCAGCCAATGCCGCTCGCACTCCTCCATCTCTTCCTCGGGAGCTGTGGAAGCTGCCCTTTCCCTCTTTCCACTCAGCCTGGGGCTTCTGTTTCTCTTCCCATGAACCCTTTTTTTTCCTTTTTCGTGATATCCTTTTTAGGTTGGCTCTCTGCAAACGTTTTAGCATCAGACTGGGCCATCTTCTCACACAGCTTCACCTCCCCAAAGCTGGCCCTGAACTGGGGCTGGTTAATGCAGGTAAGGAACCATCGGTTGGTATTAGGGAAGACCTGGCGAAAAGAAGGCACTAAGACCTGTTTATAGAGTCACAACAGGGTGCAGACAACTGTGATTATCAGCCAGTGTCACTCGCTCACCCACTAGAGAAGTGGGTCTTTGGGTGTCCAGCAGTTCCAGGATTCGCTTCAACTCCTCTTATGCATTTTCAGTGGCCTGTTTGCTGTGGTATAATGCTCGAGGTGGGGAACACCCAGGTAACTGGAGGAACAATGTCACCGTCAGCAAAGCTCACCCACTGCACCACCTGAGCTGCTGCCTCTGGTTTACTTCCCTGAAGCTCCTCATTGCTTACATAATAGGCAATGGCATTGCGCTCAAACACACAGACTCCGTCATCACCCTCAAATGCCGGAAACTTGCCAGCCAGGAAATTTTTGGAGAAACTCAGGGTTGCGGTTGCTTTGGCCAAAGTGGAAGTGGGGTGGTGCGGAGAGCACGTGGACCTGAGCTCCGCTGTACTGAGCAGCCAGGAGGGCCTTGAAGGTCCTCCAGTTTTCAGGGTATGTGTACAGGGTCCCAGCCACCATTTCTAGGTAAATAGCTAATAGTGAATTATTATATTAATAATTAATAGTTAACCTCTTTGAGCTTTTTTTTTTTTGTTTGTTTTTTTTGAGACAGGGTTTCTCTGTGTAGCCCTGGCTGTCCTGGAACTCACTCTGTAGACCAGGCTGGCCTCGAACTCAGAAATCCGCCTGCCTCTGCCTCCCAAGTGCTGGGATTAAAGGAGTGTGCCACTGCCCAGCCTCTTTGAGCTTCTAAGCAGCCAAGGTTTGAAATTTGTATGTCACCACGATTGGCCTTGAACACCTGATTTCTAAACTCCTTACCCTTGGTTTCTAGAGCCCTGGAATTACAGGTGCGAGTCGACTCATTTGGAACACACATACCTGCAGATTCAAACCAGTCTGCTGGGGTGCAGGAAGACCAGACCTTCCACCTGCAACAAGGCGGCAAGCTAATACACCTGCAGCAAATTGTTTTGCGAACAAAGAGGAATTTGACATCTTTTTGTCCAGATGAGTTAATATGATGCAGTTGTGAAGTGTGTGAATTTTCTATACTCTGATTATAGAAAACAACTAACAGTTGTGTTTTTTGCTTTGTTTTGTTTTCCTCCCTCCTACACGTAGAACAAATACAAAGTTGCTAGATAGACCTGTGAAGAAAAGGCAAAGGCATCCAGTTTCTCCACTGTGAAACCCAGGTTTGGGCTATCCCTTTCTATTTGTTTGTTTATTATTTATCTCTATTTTTATTCAAGACAGGGTTTCTCTGTGTGGCTTTGCCTGTCCTAGAACCCACCCTGTAGGTCAGGCTGTCAAATGTCCAGAGATCCACCTACCTCTGCCTCCCAGGTGCTGGGATTAAAGGTGTATACCATCAGCCGGGTGGCGCACGCCTTTAATCCCAGCACTTGGGAGGCAGAGGCAGGCGGATTTCTGAGTTTGAGAGTTCGAGGCTAGCCTGGTCTACAGAGTGAGTTCCAGGACAGCCAGGGCCACACAGAGAAACCCTGTCTCGAAAAAAAAAAAAGGTGTGTACCATCAGCATCTGGAATCTTTCTCTCTTTTAAAAGATGAGGTCTTGCTAAGTTTCCTAGGCTCATTTTGAACTGTAGACCCTTCAGACCCTCCTGCTTCATCTTCTTCTTTTTGTTTTTTTCCTCCTTGAGACAAGGTTTCCCCGTGTAACCCTGGAACTTGTTCCGCAGACCAGGCTGGCTTCAAACCTAGAGATCTTCTGCCTCTCCCGTGCTGGTATTAAGAGTGTGTGACCCAGCCTTCTCCACCACCCAGCTCTATCTCAGCTTCTTGAGTAGCTTGGAATCACAGGTGAGAGCATGCGGAGTTTAAGGTCATCTTCTGCTCCTTTAGAGAACTGAGGCTGACCTGAGTCACATGAGCTCCTCAAAAAACAAGGAGAGTAAGTTAGCCAAACAATCTAATGCTTATAGAATACATGAGTCTTATAATTTCCTTTCAATGTCATGGTGGGCACTCTATTGCCTATATTCTCAGTGTTCATTAATCAGCCATGTATTGAATGTTGTGGGCCCTCTGTGACCTCACCAGACTTCCTATGCAAATGGCATAGCTGTCATTTGTACCATGTCAGTGGGATATGGCAAGCATATGGTCTAGGCACTCTGTCTCCAGTGCCCTCTGGTCCAGGCGGGGATAAAATAATGCCAATACTGTTAGGACAGCACAGAAATTAAACATGAAGATTCCTTTTGGTGTGTGTTTAATGAATGAAGGTGCCTTGGAAGACTGATCTGGTTTTTGACAGTGTCTGTGTCTAAGGTGATCCTGGGTGGAGAGTGTGGCTGGGTCAAGGGTGGAGCCTTGTTTTGTGTGAAGGTTGAAGGTTGGGTGGGCTATTTAGGGTGTGTCTGGGGAGGGGACAGTCTCTGTTGCTTATATAATTAACGGTAACCAGAAAATTTTCTCTCTTCTGCAGCAAGCAAGGTCTGAGCTTGGAGGTTTCCGACATGGCTTCAAATAGTAAGTTGTTTGGTTAGGGACAAAACTATGGTTTCTGTAGCTATTTATCTGATGCTCTACCCAGGGAGGTCTAGCCTTTATTATGGTATTTCGATGTATTTATCTACAGATGTGTTGGGCTGCTTTCATAGCTATCCCAGGACATGCCTACAGCTTGAGCATGCAGCGCTGCATCTGGGTTTTTTTTTTTGTTTGTTGTTTGTAGGGATGTGAGCTCTCATCTCTAAAAGTAGGCTCGTAGGATGGGCACAGCTCTTGTAAACAGTGTGACTCTTAGCTGCCACATGGTAACATGATTGGTGGTGGAACTTTCCCAGAAACTCAAGTACCTACAATTAAATGTGTGATCACCTTAAAGGGCTTTCTCCTACTGTAGAGGTCTATGTGGAACATGTTGCAGGTAAAATGATTATGCTTGGGGCTCTATTTGCAGTGACTCGTGGAGATGAGCAGGATGTGTGGGTGAGTGAATGGCACGAGCCAAGTAGCGTTTCACATTATAGTGAACGGTAATGATCAAGGCCTGAGGTTTAATCTTTAGGACAGAGGGAAGGGGGCTGAATCAAGAGTTAGGGACCCTGGGCTCTTTTATTCTTTTTCTTTTCTCCCCAGGGCTTGGGGTGTTGACAGGGTTTCTATCTACATAGTCCTGGTTCTCTTGGAACTCCTTATATAGACCAGGCTGGCCTTATAGAGAACTGCCTGCTATGATTAAAGGCAAGCACCATTCATTACTCCTGTTTTTTTTAAAAAAGTTAATGTGATGGGGCTGGGAATGGGACTTGGTAGCACAGTACTTGCATAGCTAGAAGGAGGAGTTCTCTCTGCAGGGGACACATCTGAGCAGGCTCAAACCCTGCTTCTAACAGTGTGGCTGGCCGTGAGGTTCCAGATGATTCTTGGTTGGTGTGCAGGAGAGGAGAAAGAAGAGTGGCCATGGTCTAGGGACCAAGAGAACATGGCCCAGAGGGCTGCCTAATTGGAGCTAAGAGCAGCCCAGATGAAACAGTAATAATTTGGGTTACGGATTGCATGTGGAATGTACACAGTTGCTTTTCAGAGACATTGGGAAATTATTTGAGCTATAGAGCAGAGTTTGAGTTGAAACCCAAGCCCACACGCTTCAGCCAGCCACAGGTTATCCAGGGCAGGATCGAGGATTAAAAAGAAAAAAGACAACCAGACAACACAACTCCAACCAGTGCTGAGGCTAAAGTGGGTTTATTTTTTCCCAGTCTGCTTTTAATGTAAGTAATAAGGTCAGTTCTAGGTTAAGGAACAAGCAAGGCGAAAAACAAAGTCCCATGAACATTTTCTAAGGGCTTATCAGGATGTTCAAAATATCTGAGCCTACTTCCCTGGCCTAGTCCAAAGTCTGAAGCCTACTTCTTTGTTCTAACCCAAATCAGATTCCTGCCCGAACTTTCATGGCCCAATGTCATATTCCTGCCAAGCAGCCCCAAAAGCTCTCCATATCTCCTCCTTTTTTTTTTTTTTAATATCATAAACAAGACTGAGCCTGTCTTAGGGACAAGAATGCCTTCCCAACCCATTGTGGAATATGCATTATCAAAAGCAATGCATTTCTGTCTTTAGCAATTCTAAAATAATCAACTTAGCTTTAATGCTATTATTCTGATTTTTAGAAAAAGATTGTTTTAGTTATGCATGTCTTTCTGTGTGTGTCTCTCTCTGTGTATGTGTCTCTGTGCATTTATTTGTGTATCTGTGTGTGCATAAGTGTAAGTGCCAAAGGGGGCTCAGGTATCAGATCCCCTCGGAGCTGGAGTTCAGGCAGCTGCAGTTGTGAGCCACCTGCCCTGGGTGCTGGGAATTGAACTGTCTGGTCTTCTGTAACAGCTGAGCCATCTCTAGAGCTCCATCTACAGCCGTAACACTTAAATTGTTATCAGGTTGGTATATCCTCAGTTAACATAAATTTAGCAAACATAAATGGATGTCATTAGAATCTTCCGGTATAGTGTATACAATTTTGTATACAATTTTATTAGGCAGAAGAAATTCTTTCCTATTTTAGTGACTATAAATAAATTCAACTATCCTCATCAATTTAAAGTTGATCTTTAACCGTTTATGGGTAAAAATGAGGTCGAGCTTCACTTTAAGAAAACAAACTTTATTTTTTGGCTCTCCAGGAAAAGAAGACAATCCCAGCAAAGCAAGAATGGGATGTAGACGAGCACCATCAAAACAGAGACATAAATTCACCAAAGAAGAACTGAGGAAACTTAAACAAGAATTTGAGTCAGCCCCTTATCCAAATTTCTCGACCAAGAATGGGCTGGCACAGGATTTCCAATGTGGACTGGACGTGATTGTTGTAAGTTAGACATCTGAAGCTTTTTGTGAAGATGTCCTTTTGTGAAGCCATTTGCTACTGAACATTATACACAGCTTACCAAAAATAACCTATTATGAGGAAAATTTGGAAGCAAAGACATTTAAGGAGCTATTGCCATGGGACTGGAGAGATGCCTTAAGAGCTCTGGTCACTCTTCCAGAGGAGCTGGGTTTGATTCCCAGCACCTCCTTGGCAGCCCACACCTCTATAACTACAGTTCTAGGGCATCTGATACGCTTTTCTAGCCTTTACACACACATTGGAAAATAGACATGCGGCAAAATACCATATACAAAAAATAAAATTAGGCCACACTGACTTGGGCCCTGTGAGAATCAGGCAGATAGGATCTGAGTTTGAGGCCAGTCTGGTTTACAGAGCAAGTTTCAGTACAGCCAGGGGCTACAAGGAGAAGCCCTATCTCCAAAACAACCACAACAAAAACATTTAAAAGTTATTGTTGGGCTGGAGAGATGGCTCAGTGGTTAAGAGCACTGACTGCACTTCCAGAGGTCCTGAGTTCAAATCCCAGCAACCACATGGTGGCTCACAACCATCTGTAATGAGATCTGATGCCCTCTTCTGGTGTGTCTGAAGACAGCTACAGTGTATTCATATATAATAAATAAATAAATCTTTAAAAAAAAAGTTATTGTTATTACCCAGGGTGGTAACTGCTGTGGTGGTTTCATACTGGGTATTTGCTATGGGAAGAACATTTTATTTTTGGTTGTGAGCCTAGCCTAGACGGTAGCTGAGGCATCTCTCTAGTACGGGATGAACATTTTAATGTTGCAAATGTTGAACATTTGGAAGGATTGTTGAGGTATTAGGTATAAAGTGAGGGGAGGGTAGACAAAGATTGCCCTGAAAAAGAGAAATAGATGGAAGACTGGAGATGTCTCTGTACAGAGGTCCCATGGGGGCCTATTGACTGGCTTGATCATATGTGGGTCTTGGGTAGATAGTCACAGCTGCTCAGTGGTTATTATTGCTGTTAACCAAAGCTATTTGCTTGAAGTGAGTTCACAAGGACAAAGCTGTGCCTTGCCTGGAAGACAGCACTTGGCAAACATTCTTCCCTTCCTCCATGATGTTGAACACTCACAAGCACTCAGTGCCTTGACTAATATGTAGTATCTGTATTAACTACTGTTTCTTTGACCAAAGTTGAAAGCAGCACAAATCTATGATTATAAAGAATAAGTATTTAGAAGGCAGTTTGACAGCATGACCATTTAGTAAAATGAGTAGCTTTCCTACTAGTGGCCCTAAACTCTGAATCTATATTTACAGACAGAATCTCACTTTGTAGCCCTGACCATCTGGAACTCACAGAGAGATCCTCTTGCCTCTGCTTCACGAGAGCTGGGATTCAAAGTAAACATTTTGTCATTTCTATAACTCAAGCCCCTTCAAAACATCTTGGACAATAATTTTCATGTATGATTGTTTTAAGGAGGCTTCTAAGAAGTGAAGCCTCCTTCCTAGGATGTGTTTAGGACCAAATTTAATATCTTAATACACATAATACAATTTGTACCACATTGTATCTTGGTTGGGAGCAGCCTGGTGGAGCATCTAGGAAGTGTTAAGCGACAGTTCCCATCTGTTCTGTCTAGATGCAGAGGTTACAGTAGGGTTAGCTGGAGCTGGCTTCCCATTCTTAAGCATGGAAGCAGGGCTAGGGGCTGATTGAAGGGTGCACAGTTCATAATCTATGGAAATGTGAAGGTCTAGGAAAGGCCACCTTCATTTTTTTTCCTTGTCTTTTCAAGGTCAGAAAGGCAGAGTCTTAGTGACTGTGACACCAACAGCAGGGCATGGTGGCAATTACTCCTAGTACTCTGAAGCCCACCTGATCTGCATAGGAGTTTCAGGACAGCTAGAGCTATATTAGGGAGACCTTGTCTCAATCAAACAAGTGAGAGAAAAGAAGCCCTGTGAGGGCACTGCTGGGAAGCAGTTTTGATGAACAATTTCCTTTTTCTCTTTTAGAACTGGTTTCAGAATAAAAGATCCAGATCACCACCAGAATTGAAAGACAAATTTCTTGCCATGAGAAGAATGATGAGCAAGTGCCCAGGCTACGTGCTTACCAATCATCAGGATACCCCGGTACGAGCTTCCAATTGTAACCCTGGGCAAATCTCTTATACCCAAGTGGCACCAGGTGGCCTTGTTCCCTATTTTGTGCAGACCGAGGAAGCTTCTGGTGAACAGTATGGCTTATGTGACTCTGTGGTCCAAAGCATTGGAACGAGATCAAGTGATGAGTATCAAGGGGCCACTGGAAGTGGATCTTCTTTCTACTTCAGACCAATGGACTTTACTCTTCCCCCTGGGTCTGAGCAGTATTATGTTGGTGACCACCCTGAGACACCGGAAAGCCAATATTCCACATTCTCTCTTGCTCAAAATGTTCCTTGTTTGCAGGGGCAAGGGCAGATGGATTGTAACTATACCCCAATGCTGTCCTGGGAAGGACAGCCCCAGAATGACTGGGGATATCAGCAACAACTGCAGCAGCCTCAGAGCTACCAAGAGAGGGTCTCCGCAGACTGGCTTGGCATGCACCAGAGCCATAGAGATTTAGGGCAGCAGGTGTCCTCCTCCTTTCCCTTAGAGCATCAGGATCAATTTGATCCAAGTAATGGAGACTGAAGCAGGCTCTTAAATGCTCTTCTGCAAGCAGCAGTCAGCACTCCACCAAATGCCTCTTTGGCTACATGGGCAGCAAGGAACTGCTGACAGCTGTATACTGTTCAGGAGAGCAGTCCTGTCAAAAACACACTCAGCCTACAATTCACAAGCTGCAGGAATTTAGAAAGCAGGATGAGGGCTAAGGTAAAGCCCTCATCTTAATTGCTTCTGAAAAACCCTAAGACTCAACAGATCCAGGGGTCCCATGAATGGTTCTAGAACAGGAAGGTTTTTAAGTGTGAGTCGTTGTTAGTATAAGTCTGAACTCAGTGACATCACATTCAGGCACCAGGCGACTTCTGCATCGTTGCTGAGGCAACCAAGATAATCACTCCCAGAATTCACCTGTCTTGTTCACCTGTACCTGGGAAGAAGTTACACATCATTACCCGTTCAAATAGTTGGGACTGCCCAAACCTCTTCATTCTCTCTTCACTTCCTCCTGCCACTTCTCCTGCTCCTCTCTCCCATCCCCCTCCCACTTCCCATGGAACTGGGTTGACCTCATGCTGTCTGTCTAAACCACACGCCGGAATCTTATAGTCGTGACCTTGCTATAAGCTTTTTTTCTTCCCCAAACTGGCAGGCATATCAATGTTTTTAACTTCTATGAACCAGATTGTTCAGTCTTCTAGGGCCCCTGGCCGGTGTATACTGCTACCCAAGGGTCTTTATAAACAGAAATCTTGGCTTTGATCTTCTCGGTGGCTCCACATAAGGAATCTGAGGGAGGTCTGACATGTTCCCCAGAGTATTGAGCTGCTGTATTGAGCTGCAGGGCCCCATAAACAACCTGAAAGCCTAGCTACAAGTTTAGATGGCTGCTGTTGACCTCATTAGATTTTAGATGTAGGGAGGGAAGAGTCATCCAGAGAGCCAGTGCCCATTTGGACAAACAGGCAAATAAGAGGTTTAGGAGGGGCTGTTCACCTGAGGTTTTTTTGTTTTTGTTTTTTTGGTTTTTCGAGACAGGGTTTCTCTGTATAGCCCGGGCTGTCCTGGAACTCACTCTGTAGACCAGGCTGTCCTTGAACTCAGAAATCCTCCCAAGTGCTGGGATTAAAGGCATGTGCCACCACTGCCCGGCAAGGTTATTATTTTTATAACTAGATTTGTTTTGTTTCCTAACTCCCTTGAGGGTTTTTGTTTTTAATCTTAGGATGCTGCTTAGATTAGAGGTTTTGTTTCTAATCAACTGTTGAGCACTTTAAGGTGGAGGGGATATATAATACGGGTGTTAAATTGTCAAAGGATGAATTAATAAAAGATATTTTTAAGTCTGAAACCTTGTATGTAGGGTTTTTTTTGGAGAGTATGTGTGTCACAAGGCATGATGATGTACTCCTTTAGTCCCAGCACTCAGCAGCCAGAGGCAGAGGGAACAGGTGGGTGCCACGATCCCTTGCTAATTTTCTTAAATGAAAAGCTGAATAATATTACACACTTTGTCCACTCACCAGCCAACAACTATTAAAGAGGAAATTAATATTCCTCAAGGAGGGAGAGGGTGATTAACATTCCTCAGACCACAAGGAAGGGAAGCCACCTGCAGGTGGGGAAGGCCCAGAGCATGTAGACACATTCTGCAGGACCGACCAACCCTTTGCCACTTACAGACAAGGGAGGTCCTTGCCACTTCATTCCCTAAAGACCAATCAGTTTAAAAGTTACACTGTTCTGCCAATCATATCATGCCTAGTCACTGCTTCTCTAGTTTACCCCTTAAACTGTATAAAAACTGACCAAATGGGCCGCCTCTCCTTCTGGTGCAGGACGACCCCAACCCATTGGAGCAATAAAGTTTCTCTTGCTTTTTGCATTGATTCACGTCTCCACATGGTTCACTCAGGGGTCCCCGGTAAGCTAAGGCTTCCCAGAGACAAGGCACCCCTGAGAGTCAAGGAAGAGCAGAGGATGGAGTTGGGAGCCAGTGTCTAGCCTGGGGGAGGAGGAGGGGGAGCTCCAGCTTGTCCCAATGGGGTGATTGTCCTTGGCTTGATGGAGGTAGGCTTGGTGGTGGTTGTGGCTGGGAACTCAGAGAGGCCTTCCCCACAGCGGATCTTGATGAAGAGAGACAGTCCATGGTTCTAAACAGTTTGTCATGGCAGAAAATGGATTTGTAAAATCATACCCCACTTTTCAGGATGGGCCTGAGATTAAATCCCCTTTGCAGAAAAAAAGTGTCTGGGAAGGAAAGCTTATTGGCTAGGCTCTCAGGACCTCTAGGTGCCTCATTAGCATGGAGAACTCTGAGCTTACATGACCACAGGTCACCTCTCTTTTATGTGAAAAACATGGCATGTGTTCCAAGTCAGGCAGGGAGCTGGGAGTCACCTAAACCTCAGGTGTGTGTCCACTGAGTATACGGGTCTCAACTTGTTCTTCTATCTTACCAAACTTCCTGGCATGGTTTTACATCCCAAACAGTGCCGAGTGCACAGATATCTCAGGAAGGTGAGCCCGCTCCATACCCCCCAACTCTGGAGACAAGCAACCTGTCTTTTCCTGCTGTGTTTTCACTTAGCGCCATCACATGGATTTGGACAGGCTGAAGAGGTAACTGAAGCCTTCTGGCCAGAGCTACTCTCTGGTGTTGGCTGAAGGTTCCTCTGCCCCTGTCTAAATCCCAACAACCCACAATAGGTATTGTGCAAAGACTCCTTATCTAAGGTCTTAAAACAAAAACATAGCTACAGGTCAGCTGCCAGTTCTTAAATCTGCAGGAAGGCTTAGGGTTTCGGACCTCTGTGGAATCTCCCAAAGCTGATAGGCCAAAAGACCATTCCCATTGCACAAGGCTTCTCTCTTCTCTGTCATGGGCAACTTGTCTTCGCATAAAAAATGTCCCCAGGCTGGGGAGATACATGCCCTACTAAAATCCCACGGAATAAAAATAGCCAAAACCTAAGCTTCCTTGTTTTAGGAGGAAGTCCTTCAGATATCACCATGCATGGCCAATGACAGTATTTATAGCCCCAACTCATGGACCAGAATAGCTTCTCTTATCAGAAACAATTACCCAAGAAAGAAAAACCCTCTCCTGTGGTTCCCCCCACCCCCATCTTAGCTGTAATTTGGCAATGCATAGGGCCATCTAAAATAGGACAGGCTGATAGCCCTGAGGCGCCTCAGTCAGATGAGCCCAAAGATCAAGGTCCTAAAGACCACCCTATTTCAGATCTTACAGCCCTTACCCAACTAATAGGAGAAATAAAATCCATCTAACTACCCCAGTCTCCTTATCCCTCAGAGAAAACACTAAATAAACTGTTTGCTCCTCCTGCCCCTCCCTCTCACCCAAGAACAGGGCTTCGTTAAAAAAAAAAAAAAAAGAACTTCCAACGTCCTCTCTCCCTACTCCATCTTCCCCCATCCAACCAGAGAGAGGTATCTCTCCTCCCCACTCCCAGAGCCACAAAAGCAAAAGACCTACAAAACACTTAGACAAAACCCCACCAAACTCCATAGCCCCTACCCCCAACCATTTACCAGGCAACAACTTTGTAATTTTAGTGACTCCCTTGCAAAATCAAACCCTGCCTCCCATGCTACTCAGGACTCTTATACAGAACTAGAATCCCAAAACACTTGATCATTCCCCATCAATAGTATCCACAATAGGACTAAACCACTCAACTGGTACTTATTCCAAGCCTCAGACTTAAAAGAACTCAGGCAGGCAGTGAAGGAAGATGGCATCCATGCACCTTGGACAAAATCTCTCCTACAGAGCCATATTGCCAACCTAAACACCCCTCAAGATTGGAGAGAGATGTGCTGTTCCTCCCTGCCTAGCCCAATGTTCTTGGACTGAGAGGCTTTATTTCAAGATGAATGCTGTCAACAGATCAGGCAAAATTGGGATCAAGGCAATACCCCATGGGGTTTTGATGAACTCTTTGGCCAGGAAGACTTTACCACTGGAGTACAGCAAGCAACACAGCCAGCAGGATATTATGAACAGGTTCACCTCTGTGCAACCCTAGCTTGGGATAGGCTTACTCCACCCTCAGGGTCACAAGACCCTGTCTCTTCCCTACCCTCTCTCTATCAAAAGCCTGGAAAACCCCTATCTGATTTTATTCTCAGAACTAGAACGAGCCTAGAAAGAAAAATCCCCAACCCCACAGCTAGAGATCTCCTTCTTAAAACCATTATATGGGAAGCCATGACTTCTGAATCCAGACCAGCCTGCCAACTTCTCCAGGAGGAGGACCACAAAGGGTGGATTGTAGCAACTCAAGATATAGGAACCACATCACACCAGATTACATCTGTGGCTCAGGCATTTGGAGAAGCAGTAAAAACAGAAGGAATCTGCTTCAAATATGGAGAGACAGGACATTGGAGAAATGAATGTCCACAAATCTCCCTCCCCATAACAGATCCTAATCCAACTAAGAAAATCTGTCCCTGGTGCAGGAGAAATTTCCATTGGAAGAGATGTTCTATCTCTGTATATGATAAGGACTATAAGCCACTGGAGCCTTTATACTTCAGAGGGGGCAACCCTCAGCCCCGACAGAAAGAAGAGGGACAGCTACTCCCACAGAAGACTTATGGGTGTCCTGCGTCTCAGATGACTCCCACTCAAAATTAACCATTAAGATAGATGATAATCCATTCAAGTGCTTTATTGATATTGGAGCAGACAGGACAATTTTAAGACATGAGATCCCAAGAGACTGGCAACTGACCCCTGGGCCAGCTCCTAGGCATAGGGGTACCTCTCACATATTCACTACCATACATGCCTACAGATAGGAAGACCCAGATGGAGCGGCAGGCCTCATACGCCCCCTGGTGGCTCAAGTAGCCACCAGTCTTCTAGGGAGAGCTATCTTACAAGCCTTAGAGGTAGTGCTTACCACCCAACCAGAAAGAGACCACATTAAGATAGAGGACATTACCTATTAAGTTATATCCAAGAAGACTCTAAAACCTCTCTTCCAAATCACCCT